GGAATTGTGGCTAAGGGTCACAGCTAAGCTATTGCCTTCTGGGCTCTCTACTCCCTCCCGTCCCCCTCCAAACAACAACAACACGTGAAAAAAGTCTGGACACCCAGATCCCCCCCAAGCGGACTTCTTGGCTGATAGGGTAGCACATGGCTGTGAACCACAGCAAGCCCTTTGCCTTTCTGATCAGAGGGGCCCGGGCAAGACGACTCAAGTAGGACACTTTAGCAATCTTGTTTTACAAAAACTGGGATCCAAAACCAAATGCAAAGACGAAAACTTTGCTGGAGGAGTGTGGACAGCTATTTGGTGAGCCCAGACTGTACCCCGGTTCTGGCTAGCCCCCAGACAGTTCCCTATTCTATAAGGTGGGGTGTGAAATCTGGTATGCTGTAACAAGGGGGACCAAATGAACTCCTTGGTCACTTATTTCTGCCATCGGGATAGGAAGTCAAAGCAGGTCAGTGTGGACATGAAGACCAGCACACAGCGGCTTGCTAACTTGCCTGGATAAGACAGAAAAAGACAAAAACCCACCCCCAAACTAAGTGTGAACGTGTGATAACTTCGGCATCCTGAATGCTTTCTATATTTCTAGAGAGAGTGTACCGAAAAAGAATCTTCTTCTAAATGGGCGCCGCTCTAAGTATAAGCGGGTTCGAGAAATGGACCTGTGACCTTAGTTTATATAATTCAATTCAACCAAGACGGGTATAGTCTGCAGTCTCTTCCAGTCCCTGGCTATCAATGAAGTAGAGCCTTCTTCTTGTATCGATGCCTGAATACAACCTACCAAGTGGCTCAGAAGCCCCCCTGTGCCTTCACATTCTGTCCTACCTTAACAATAATAAAAAACAAAATCACATCCGCTCCTCTCCAGATAAGGCAACTAAAACAACAGGGATAAATGGAAATTTTACTGCTTGTTGGGCTTTTTCTTTTAATAAGATAACATGATAAATAAAACCTGCTTCTGTACAGCTATTTAATATTTCAGAAATACGTACATGTTACATGCCAAGAAAGGACCCTGGTTTTCTTGTAAGAAACAAGGTGAGATCATAATTGAAGGGAAAAAAAAAAAAAAACCCACAAACAAAAAGAAAAAAAAAACAAAACAAACAAGAGTGATAAAATCACAAATGCACAACTAACTACAGTTCTGTACCTACACTGTCAGCCACGTTTAACATGATGCGGGGGGCGGGGGGGCGCCAGGAACCGCCTTTATACATCCAAGTCCCTTTCCCCCCCTCGCAAAACTGAATGAGAACACAAAGTCGGCATTTTTTTTAAACCAGTGGCCACATAGTAAAAACTGTACATCGTTGTCCATTCATTTAAAAAGCAAAGTCACTAGGATGGTATAAAAGTGATAACCGGTGCCTTTTTAACTTTTTGAAGAAAACTCGCTAAGGTTCAGAATTATCTGCACTCTCTCTGCATGACCAGGAGCACGATGCAGAAGGCGGCGAGGAGGGAGGGCTGCGCCCGCACAAAGCCACCAGCGCTGCCGGCCTGATCGTTGGCGCTCTTCCCGGAGGGCTCGGTGGCGTTGTGCTCCAACTCCGAGGGGCACTGCTGGTACTCGCAACCGCTACCGCTTCCCTCCCCACTGCTCTCGTCACCTATTAAAAAAAAAAAAAAAAAAGGAAGAGAGATTTCATTCCGCTCGTTCTCTTCACACGGCGTACGAGAGCAACGTGTAAGTTTCAAACCACAAATGCTTACTGATGTCAAAGAAGTCCACATCGTTCCCGTTGTAAGCATTCTTCATTTTACTGGTCATAACCCGAAGAGCCATGATCTGGCGAAGGATCAGTATGTCCGGTTTGCTGGTGTCCACCTGGACCTCCGGATTGTTGCCCTGGTTGGCTAAGCCATTTCCCGTCACCGCGAACAGGTATCTGAAATGAAAAATGACTCTGCTAAGATGATCGGTAAAGCTCAAAGTGGCCGAAGATCGGAGAATTCTGCCTTGATTCTAGTAGTCCTACTGAGTGCAATTCAGGGGAAAGCGCTCCCATTTCTTGTTTCTCCGCTTTGACGGGGACCTTTTGGAATGCTACCCCTTTTACGGAGGTTGGTGGGTCAGAGTCAAGGGCCGATACAGCGGGGACTTAGCAAAGTTACTTGAGTGAGTGTGGAGGGCAGTGACACAAGATATCGCCCAAGAAGAGAACGAGGCCTTTGGGGGAACTGCAGCTTTAGGAGGCCAGGCCGGTGGGCCGAGAACCACAGGCATTAAATCCTGGAAAGACGAGGCTACTGCAACAGCCCGACCCCGGGCTGCAGCCCTCGTGCTGGACCAGAGCCACCATCGCACACTTCCGGCCCAGGACTCCCCAGCAAGCAGCTGGGTGCCTTCCCGAGGCTTGCGGGACAAAGCCCGTTCCTTAGACCGTCTAGAAGCCATCCATGCTGTTGCTACCTACCGTCCGGTGCTTCGTGATGCCTCCCTCGAGTGACTACTGAGCAACCGCCGTCTGACCCACGCTCCCCCTCCCCGGGGCAGGCGGGAAGGGAGCCCGCCAGCCCGCTCGCCCGAGCCTAACCTGCTCTTGCCCTTCCCGTCCCAGCAGTCGTCCTCGTTCCCGTTCCCAGCGGCCATTCTCCCATCGCTGCACACATTGCTGGGCAGAGAGGACCAGAACTTCTTGGCCTGTTTCAGCTTCTCCTTGACATCAGTAACCTCATTAGCAGGGGCGGGGGGAAAGAAAGAAACACCTCTGTAAAAACACACAACTGCCTACAGATGTGTCTTCTGATCATGTCTAAAGTAGCTCCAGAGCGCTATGCGATTCATTTTCAGCTTGAATCACAAGAGAAAAATGCAGATCAAATCTATACAGAAAAGAACAAACTCGCTCAAATGAACTAATGGTTGGAACACAGGCCCTGAAGGAGTGGCCCCGATCCACCGGCCACTCTCCCTCTGTATTTACAGCTACCGTAACCTGAGGCCCGCCGGCCTCCGGGCCCCGTGGGTACGAGGAGAAGCCACGGTCTCCTCCCGCGAGGCTTTCCTCCTCTGGCTGCAGTGTCTATACCGCCTGCCACGGCGCCCCCTCCGGCCACGGCGCGTGCGGCTCGCTGCCAAGGGCAATGCGGTTCGCTTCCAACCCCGTCCCCCGGGCGCTTCCTATTCATCCCCTTTGCTAGTGAAGCCCGGGGTCTCTGCTGCTCCCGCTGAACAAGGAGGAGTCTCATCGCTCTGTGCTCCCTATAATGGGCACAGTGATGCGCTCACAGGAGATGCGTCGCGTTTCCTAACGAAGTACGAACTTTATGAGCTAGAAAATGAGAGGCAGATTTATGGACATCCCCATGCAACCTGCTTGGAAAGTTTCACCTGGAAGACCCGCACTTGAAAGCCTTCCAACTAAAAATGCATTCGGAGCAAATGTTGTCAGTTCTTTGTCATTAAACGCGGCCATTCCTGCACCGAAGTGCTCACCAGTCGGTCCAAACTCGTGCCAGCTGCCGTGGTCGGGCGTTCCTCGGGGTGATACGGTCTGAAGCGGGCGCTGAAAGCCCCCTCGGAGATGGATCGGGAAATCCGGCCGGCCGGGAGGGGTTTGGGGGGTCCACATCCCTGGAAGACCTGCATTGAAGCGAACATAGT